TTTAATTCCATTTCCAGTTTGAGTGTCAATAACGATATAGAAATTGTTTTGTTACATTATCGATTGGGTCATCCGAGTTTCATGTATCTTGCTAAACTTTTTCCAAAGTTATTTATCAATAAAAATCCTTCTTCTTTTCATTGTGAAATTTGTCAATTTGCTAAACACACTCGACATTCTTATACACGTCTTGAATATAAGCCTTCAAACCCGTTCTCTTTAATTCATAGTGATGTGTGTGGTCCTTCTCGAATCAAAAATATTTCGGGGGCCCGTTGGTTTGTTTCGTTTGTTGATGATCATTCACGTCTTACTTGGGTATTTCTTATGAAAGAAAAATCTGAGGTTTGTCAAATCTTTCAAAGTTTCAACACCATGATCCAAAATCAATTCAAGACCAAAATCCAAGTTCTCAAAACTGACAATGCAAAAGAATATTTCACAGGCAATCTCAACTCATATCTCCTCGAACAAGGTATCATTCACATCAGTTCGTGTGTTGAAACCCCTCAACAAAATGGGGTTGTCGAACGCAAGAACAAACATCTCCTCGAGGTTGCTCGCTGTCTCATGTTCTCCTCCAATGTACCAAAATTTTTCTGGGGTGAAGCTATTCTTACCGCTACCTATCTCATAAACAGAATGCCATCTCGAATTCTGGGGTTCCATTGTCCTCATCAAGTATTTCTTGATTTCTTTCCTCACTCCAGGTTTGTTTCTCCTGATTTGCCTCCAAAAATATTCGGTTGTACTTCCTTTGTACATATCCACTCACAACACAGAAGCAAACTTGATCCTAGGGCTCTAAAATGTATTTTCTTAGGATATGCTCCTCATCAAAAAGGTTACAAATGCTACTCCCCACATACAAGAAAGGTATACGTATCCATGGATGTCACATTCTTTGAAAAACTACCCTTCTATCCCAAACCTGCAATTCAGGGGGAGAGTGAGAGTGAATGTCAGTTTTGGGAAAATTTATCAGAGCCCTCACAGCATTCACAAAATTCTACAAATCAATCCCAAGAGCAACAGACAGAACCTCCTTCCAATACCTCTCAGTCACCTCGTTTGTCATCATCACTTGAGCCTCGTTTGTCATCATCACTTGAGCCTTCAGAGTCCTCTCCAGCACAAATTCCACCTCAAATTCCCATTTTCCCTCAGCTTGCTCATGAAAACCTCAAAGTCTACCGAAGAAGACAAAATAGACAGGAAATAGAGCAAGAAACACAGCCAGCAATCCAAAATTCTGAACCGGATTCATGTCCTCCTGAAGACACTACATGTACGGATAGTGTTGTCCCTGATGAGCCTATGATTCCATTCATTCATGACTTAAACAAGTCTATTGTAGAAAGGAAAGGAGTACGGAAGTGCACTAGTCATCCAATTGCTAATTATATATCATATGATGGCTTATCTTCATCATACAAAGCATTTATTTCTTCCTTGGACAGTATACAGGTTCCTAACAATATACATGAAGCTCTCAATCATCCGGGTTGGAAGAAAGCTGTTCAAGTGGAAATAGATGCCCTCGAGAAGAATGGAACATGGATTCTCACTGACCTTCCAGCAGGAACGGCTAGTGTTGGGTGCAAGTGGATATTCACAGTTAAATATAAGGCAGATGGGAGTGTTGAGAGACTCAAAGCTCGGCTTGTAGCTAAAGGATTCACGCAATCATATGGGATTGACTACCAAGAAACATTTGCTCCAGTGGCAAAACTCAACACCATTAGAATTCTACTCTCTTTGGCTGTCAATCATGATTGGAATTTATACCAACTGGATATAAAAAATGCCTTTCTCAATGGAGATCTCGAAAAGAAGTATACATGGAAATTCCCCCAGGACTTGAATGGAATCTCACTGGACACAAGGTGTGCCAGCTTAAAAAGTCGTTGCATGGTCTAAAACAATCTCCTCGAGCATGGTTTGACAAGTTTGCAAAGGCCGTTATGAGGTTCGGCTATGTTCAGTGTCAGGCAGACCATACGTTATTCATTCGGACATCACCAACCAGGAAGATTGCACTCTTGATAGTATATGTTGATGACATTATACTTTCGGGAGATGATGAGGAAGAACTACACAGATTGAAGGATCGTCTAGCCCAAGAGTTTGAAGTCAAAGATTTGGGGAGTCTCAAATACTTCCTTGGTATGGAGGTGGCTAGATCTCGAAAGGGGATTGTTGTTTCCCAACGAAAGTACACTCTGGACTTACTGAAGGAGACTGGTATGCTTGGTTGCAAACCTGTTGATACACCGATGGATCCCTACAAGAAGTGGCTTAGAAAAAGATAGCACTCCAGTCGACAGGGGGAGATATCAGAGGCTAGTTGGAAGACTGATATACCTTTCACATACTCGACCTGATCTTGGCTTTGCTGTTAGCGTTGTCAGCCAATTCATGCACAGTCCAACAGAAGAGCACATGAATGCAGTCTACAGAATACTGAAATATTTGAAAATGACTCCTGGGAATGGATTATTTTTCAAAAAATCAGAAAACCGAAGCATTGAAATTTATTCAGATGCTGATTGGGCTGGAGACATTTCAGATAGGAGGTCTACTTCAGCTTATTGTTCCTTTGTCTGGGGAAACCTAGTGACTTGGAGAAGTAAGAAACAATCAGTTGTTGCTAGGAGCAGTGCCGAAGCAGAATTCAGAGCATTGGCTCATGGAATTTGCGAAGGAATCTGGATAAGAAGACTTCTTAGTGAACTTGGTATGAGCAATCCTTCATCCATTCAAATGATGTGTGACAATCAAGCTGCAATTAGCATTGCTAAGAACCCAGTTCATCATGATCGTACCAAGCACGTTGAGATTGATAGACACTTCATTTCCGAGAAGATCTCCAGTGCAGTCGTGCAACTGAATTACACTCCTACGCACCAACAGATCGCAGACATCCTCACCAAAGCATTGCCACGTCCTAACTTTGAAGATTTGAGTAGCAAGCTGGGGTTGTATGATTTATATACACCAGCTTGAGGGGGAGTGTTGAAATTAGTTATTCAAAGTTAGGAGTTAATTGTAATTTACACTAGTTAGTATTTTATTTAGTTAAAGAGAAGATCCTACGTGATCCTCTTCATGATTCTTTCCTATTTTGTGGGAACAGAATCAATTAGTTCCTTTTCTGTTTTTATTCCCTAGTTAACAATATATATGTAATTCTTTCCTCAGAATAAAACAAGAAAGAGTTTTCTCAATTTCTTCATTATTTCCAAAATCATTGAGAATTGCACTAGTGGTCTCACTAGTGATAACACTTGGTATATCTTTTTAGATGCTAGGTGCTACAAATTTCAAAGTTTCGCGTGACCTTTCAAAACATTATCAATGGTTTCATAGCATTCTGCAAGAAAACATACAAGTTCAAGAATTTTTTTACTTGATTCCTAAGTTCCATCATGACTTAAAGAATCAAAGCTTTGCCTAATGTAAAATAAAAATTATTATATTAGTCGTTTAGTTTTTTACTATTAAAATATTTGTGGGTTTATTTGAGTACTTGTGATTAAATTATTAAGTGTTTAACTATTCAAATAATAATTTAAGTTATTTATTATCAGCTTAGGTAGTTAGAGAAATGTCTTGTAGTTATATTATTGTTTGTGTTCTAGATTCTATTTATTGAGAAATTTCTTAAAGGAAGTCTATTAATGAGCAACTATTTATTGCTCAATCATCTTCTTCAAGGAAAAAGTTTTTAGAATTTGAGTCTTCTACCTGGAGTTTTAGATTATCACCTTCATGTTGGGATGAAATTCAGAAAACATTCTTGCTAAAAGGTCTGTTTCAACCACATGAACATAACTTTCATCATAAGATATATGGAAATCTTTTATGACGTTTTAATTCTATTTGATTTGATCAGTTTGGAAATTGGTTAGAATGTAGTGTATTGTTTATTCCTATCTTATGAGAAGTTTGAGTTGAAGAGGTTGGTGATGCATTTGTTACCAAAGGATTCTCAAATTAGAAAAAAAGAGAGGTTGCAAATTCATAGTCATCAGTCCCTATATTATTCATAATGAAGCTTGGAGAAAATACAAATAATTAATAAATCAAATTTAACATATTAACGATGTCATTGCCTGACAATATGATCTAAGTTGAAAGAGATTACTGTCGTTTAAGTGCAAAATTGTGTTTGATTTCTTCTACATCAAGGATTGACATTTTATGATCATGATGAAACTCAAGATTCAAGCAAACTTTTTTATGCTTCTCATTTTCTTGTAAATCACAATTAAACCATTGATAAAGTTTTGAAAGGTGCTCATGGAAATTTAAAATTAATAGCACATAATATCCAAAAAGATATTGTAAGTGTTGTGGTTTGTAAGACCACTAGTGCAATTATCAATATTCTTGGAGATGATTTACTTGCTATTTTAATTGATGAATCTCTTGATATATCCATTAAGAGCGAATAACCACTGTTTTGCTAACAAAAAAGGATGTGGCATTGAAGATTTTCTTTCTTGTACATGGTTTTAAAATTTTAACATAAATGTTCTGTCACTTATAATAGCTTTGGAGTTAGAATTTACAAAAATATTATTTGAGTTTATCAAGATTGCAGGGGCAAAGCTATGATGGAGCTAGTAATAAGTAAATCAATTCAATGAACTCATAAGTTTGATATTGAAATAGAACATATCTGCTTTTTAAGTGTACTACTTTCCACATCAACTTCAATTAACACTTAATAGTTTTTCCTGAAAAGCAAGTTGAAATTATTTTGCTATTTAATTTGGTTACTAGTTAGTGTAATTGTGCTTCTTGTAAGCATCGAGATATTCCTCAAGAAAGATAAATTAGGGAGATAAAAGAAGTGCTAGAAAATAGTTAAGGACGTAGTGGACATGATTTGAATCAAGAAATTACTCTTAAAAGAGCTTCAGTTACTCGTTGGAACTCACATTATGGTATATTACTTAGTTTACTTGCCATGTTCCTTGAAATCATTGAGGAAGATGGTACAATATCAGGGCAAAGAGGTACCTGAGACACTTGTTGGATCTCAAATTATGCCATATTACTTAGTTTACTTACCATCTTTCTTGAATCAATCGTGGTACAGCATGAGAGCGAAGAGGTAAATGCTTGTGCATTATTGAACTCTATCCAATTTTTTGAATTTGTCTTTAACTTACAGTTGATGAAAAACATACTTGGGAGTTACCAATGAGTTATCTCAAGCATTACAGAGAAATAATTATGACAATGTAAATGCTATGACATTGGTTAAAGTGACAAAGCACCGACTGCAATTTATGAGAGATGATGGAAGGAATTTTTTCAGGAACTTTGCTTATTGTAAAAAGAATAATATTGTTGTCTTCCATATAGATTAGATGTTAGATGTTTGAGAAAGGTCACGTCATAGAGTTGAGCAAGTTTCAATATTGCATAAATTTCAAGTTAGAGTTATTTTTTCAAACCTTTGACTGACAACTTCGATGGCTTAGCAATCGGTTTAAGAGTCAAAGTCTGAACTGATCCTTTGCGTAGCATGTTTGAGCCCAAAAGATTCACTTGTTGCTTTTGATAATCGGGACCTCAGTGGAAATCATGACACTTGAACCCCAAATTTAGAAGTACATTGTAGATGTGTGGTCAGATGACGGGTTTTGAAACTTAGAAGGAATTGGTGATCTTTCTGAAAAGTTAGTGGAGACTATCTTCTTGTAAAGTTAGCTTTATCATACCAATTGCTAATGTGACCATGTAATGAACTTTTTCTGCAATGGATATAGTGAAGAATCTAACGCACAATCGCATGGAAGATGAGTGATTGAATAATTGTTGGTGTCTTATATTAAAAAAAGATTCTTTAATAGTAGAGACAATGAGAAAATCATGCAACTTTATTAAAATATGAAAACATGTGTAAAATTTTTAATAGGTACATCTAGTTCTATTGATTGTATTTTACTTAGGCATATATATGCATATTCTGTTGTGGTTCCATAACATTTAGATAAAAATATCACATATTGGTTATATTTGTAGCCTTGCCCCTAGTGACTAAAGTTTCTATAGTAACTCTGCATTTATGTACAATACAATCAAAGCGAACATGAATTCTATTAACTTAGAAGGTAATTAAAATATCTTGCAAGAAGCAAGAAAAAAGGGTAGAAAAGTTTCTCCCAAGTTTGATCTCATCGCCAATATCAAAGTCTTTCTCTTGTTTGACAAATTAATTTTATCAGCTAAATACTGGAAGCATCAAAATTTCCCAGCTAAATTTATATCAGTATTCTCACTCATGTTCCTCTTCTTGTTTCCATACTACTTGCTCCAATGTGTGCCTCCATGCATAATTTGTCTGTCTGTTACACCCCAATGCAAATGGAATTTGTAGTCCCGTCTACACACACACACACACACACACATGACGGGACTACAAATTCCGTTTAGTAACATTAGTCCAAACATTGGCAAATCCAAACCTTGTCCAATCTAAATCTGTCCATCAAAACCATTTTGTTGCATTCTCATGCATGAACCCAAAGTCCGACCTTTTTGGAGAAGGGAAGAATACAAGGAGAAGTAGATGTTGTCTGACAGTAATATGAAAAAGAATGGCAGAGTACGCTCTTCTCCTTCCACCCTTTCTGAGAGGATGGAGTTATATTTGCTCAATAAATACTTTGACCAGCTTTAGGCCTTTCCAATAATGTATTGCTCCTACATGACCGGCAAAGGTCATTTTAAAATGGGATGTAATTATAGGTAAGCTAGCAGGTAAAATTCCTTCTTTTGAATATCAAATATTGTTTAATTTTTTGTCTATGCTTCTAATGCTTGCTTTGGTACGTGTTTCCTGTGAATCATCTCACTTCCTATCAAAAGCTAAAAATTAGTTGGTTGTAAACAATGTTGGCTATTGTAGGAGATTATATCACCTGGAGACAATAAATCTTTTCGCATTTGATGTGCATTCTATTTCTTTTTTGTTATTTGTTTATTTCATTGAACTTTGGCATTATTAGATGTACTTTCATATTTAACTAAGAAAGTGTTTAAGAAGGCTTATTTTTTAGTTAAACTAGCTTTTAAACTAGCTTTTTTATTTCTACCTGTTTGATAAAATGCCAAATTAGTTTATAAGTCTCATTTTAAAAAGCTGGCATGCATCAGCTTTTGAAAAACTAGCTTATAAGCTCACTTAAAAAAGTTAGGTTTAACCAAGCAAATTACTATTCTACTCAAACAAATAATATTTTTATCAAAAAAGTCAAAAGTCATTAAAAACTAGCATAATTTATAAGCTTCAAAAAATAAGCCTTCCCAAATATCCTCTAAGTTGGCATAATTTATTGGCTTGTTCTTTCTTTTTATGATCCTAATAGTGCCCGAAGTTCTCAGACTAAACTAATAAACGAAACTAAAATGCTGAAAAACATCCTTAAGAGTTTGTAATTAAATGTTTTATATTGTAGGACATTAGCTTCACTTTCTAAGTTTACTTCAAGTGCATGCTTTTAGGTTTATAGCATGTGTGATTGGTGTATGCATAATCCCTTATTTCCAACTAGCTTTCATGTATCAACTAGCTGCTTTTCTTTCCTAATGTAGGTGGGTTGATGAGCATCTTGTTCACATCTTATCACCAAATATATATCGCACGACGTATGAGGCACTTGAGTCCTTTGATTACATAACGAGCCATGGTATGATACTACTTCGGTGACATTTATGTTTATTTGGAATAATTTTAGGCGTATGAGCCTTGCCATTTCATATGCTTATCTTTCTGTAGTTTACATGTTTTAGACTGTCAGAAAAGAGATGATATGAAACAATGTTCACAGTAACAAAAATTTCCCTAATGCTTGCTTCTTGTTAAGGCAGAACACCATAATATAGATTACACATTTTATTATTTTATTTAAATATTTAATAAAGTACAAATATCCACAAGGATATGATAAATATAATCACACTATTTTCAATATAACATCACAATTTTCAATATAATATCACACCGATTCTGTAGAAAGGTGATTCTTTTAGGCACCTGTTTATTATTTAATGTCGTTTATGATTTTGAAGTCATTCACTAGACTATATATTAGAGATGGAAAAGTATTAGAGTATTTGGAGACATTAAGCATTCCGTTGTAGAAGAAAAGGTATCAGTTACTACTTTATTTTTCTTATTTTTGAAGGATTATGTCCGTGCTTTTATATGTGAAGCTCATACTCATGCATGATTACGTTCCAAAAATATATGCATGTGCACGGTGGTAGCACTATTGTCAGTTTTTTCGTTAAGAGAGATGTTTGACGACATGAATAGAAGTATTCTTCTCTTATTTCCATATGATGACATTAAATGACGGTACTAATTCTGTGTTAAGAAAAGTTTGGTAAGAAAGGAATGAAAATGATGGGTTACCCATAAGATGTAGGAGATCAGTGATTCTATCTGGGCTATTCTGTTAGGCATTTAGGCAATGACATGCTGCTGAGGTTATGTTATATAGCACTACATTTTTAGGTGGACAGATAGGGTACGGCGTGAGGGCTTCGATTTGATGCCGTGTGAATCTCTAACATAAGGTCTTTGAAAACTATATGGATCTATTTGACAGCTTCATGGATTGAGAAGGGGAACGCTCGGTCTGGGGGGAGGGGGGACATGGATGGTCAGAGATTAGCAACGTTGGAGGAAACTGAGAATGAAGAGGACTTATGGACAGTAATGATGTTTTGGGTTACTGTTCATTGTTGAACGGTAAAGCTACAAGAACTTTGGTCCTCTCTCTCTGTGTTCTTTTGGAAGATTGTTTGAAATGGGACAAGAGAGAAAATTTGAGGTAGGTCTTGTGGGGCTTTTGCATGGACGACTAGGAGTGAAAGTGCAAGAGGTTGAGATTAATAACTAGGCTTCACTCTTATGAGCCTCACACCCAAAGGCTTCACACCCCAAAGAAAAATCACATGCCAAAAACACCTCACATACAGTGTTTTCAATGCGCGAGGCGCAATGCGGGGCGCAAAGCATCTTTACGCGCACATGCGCAAGGCGCAACGCGATGCGCGCGCCCGAGTGATGCGAGGCGCACACCACACACATAATATTTTAATATATGTAATCAAGCGCGAAAGAACATGTTTTTAGAATTTACATGAAAAATATCAAGATAAATAATATCTTGCTACAAAATCACAATATATTGCCTTAATTTCTAATGCTAACCAAGGTTATCGATAGCGGATAGCGTCGCGTAGCGGTGAGACATCACTAAGGCTATTTCGGGTTATTGCGGCAAAATAGCGGTAAAAAGCACAAAGTCAAATAGCGGCCTAATTTAGATATGTATAAATATTAAAAAAATTAAAGAAAAATCTAAGAAATCTAAAAGTACATATTGGATGATTTAAAGAGATCCTAAACATGAAATAGACATGTAACCATCACGTAATATCGAAGATGACTGAAGGAGTCAAAAAATCGTCGTCTTCGAGAAGAAGAGCTTAGCGGTGACAGGACTGCCCTAAGAGGAGCTCACGGTGAAGGAGGTGAAATGAAGTATCAAGGTAGGTGCCAGAGGCTATAAGAGATGGCGGGAGTATGCTGAAAATCACATGAGACGGTGGAATGTAATGATCAAGGGTTGAGTTTAATTTTAAAAAAATAAACCTCAAACCGCTTTTAAATAGCAGTCAAAAAACAAATTTCGAATGCAATCGCTCACTATTTACCGTTATGACACACTATTGATCGCTTTTACGAACAGACATATTCCGCAATGTCATCGCTATTGCATGATAGCGTAGCGGGCGATAGCGTCGTGGGAAGGGACCGTTAACGCTATTAGCGCCGCTATTACGTGGCTATTTACCACTATTTATAACAGTGATGCTAACACCCAACATAGTAGCAAATTTCATAAATTTTCAAATCAAATATTAAATCAAGACTAATATCCAAACAAAGGATTAGTAATGGTCCTCAATTGAAGGTTGTTAAAAAACCAATGGATTTATTTTGTTTTTTGGGATGTGGAATATTAAGTATAAAGACTCGATTGAAATATTAACAAATAAAACTATATGAGGAAATGTACTACATGCATTCTACACAAAGTACGGATGTACGCGATGCGCAAAAGGTGCTGTCCCATCAGATGTGGGGCGCTTCGCCATCGCCCCGCATCGTAAGGCGCATGAGGCGCAATGAGGTGCGCGTCTTTGAAAACACTGCTCACATACTCATACTCAAGAGAAGATTCTTATAACTTAATATTTTTATTAATCAATGTCTAATTCCTCATGGAAGATTACAACTTTATTTATAGTAAAATCTAAAACTAAAAATTATATCAAATCCTATTTAAATCATAACTAAAAGGAAACAAAATAAAATTCTACATAAAGTAAATTCCCAAAGATCCTAAATTATCCTAAAATCAAATCGTAAGAAAATTTTACCAAAAAATCAAGATTACATCATATAATAGTAAAATAAAAGAGATTCTAGTAAGTCTATAAAGATTTGGATCAACAGTCCACAATCATCCTGCATCATCCTGCATCAAAGGACAATCTTAAGCTTCAATGGTATGTAGCTGTTCCTTTCCCAGACAATTCATCTTAAGTCATCTACTATTGAAATTTAATATTGATTATTTTTAAGTATTCAGAAGTACCTAAAGGATGACTAATGAAAGGGAAAAGATATCGAGTTGAGAATTAATTGATATTTTTTTCTCCTTTCATCGAGCTTAGTTCTAATTTAAAGGTGCTTCTGGAACTAGTTATCTTAATTTGATATTACCTTTGTTGCACAGATACTGGTGCAGGTGCAAACACGGACACGTGTGCGGATACGTGACAAGACAAAATTGTAAATGTTAGGATACAAAGGACACAAGCTATGTACGCACATTAAAATTAATAATCTAGATGTGCTTGATATTGTTTTTTATTCACATGTTATGATAAAATCTTTATACAATTTTTATGTTTCTTTTATTGAGATTATAAATTGAAAAATCACTCTTGTTTGAACTAGATACCAAATGGCCTTTAAACCATACTTATGAACTAGTTATGTGCTAAAATAAACCTGTCCCGAGTAAAAAACGAGTTGTATGATATCAGTTCAAGAGGTGTATCACAAGTTTTTAAACTAAAATGTGTTATATTATTGATGCGGAATGAAATTTTATAGATTTACTAGTATTTTTTTATTTTAGTAATTTTTGATGTAATATCCAATTTTAAGTAAGATTTCCTTTGGATGATTTAGGATTGTTAGGATCTCTGATATTTATTTTGTTAGATATTTTGTCTTTGTTTCCTTTTTGTTAAGATTTAATTAGGATTTGATTTAGTTTTCAGATTTAGTTTTTCTCTATAAATAAAGCTGTAATCTTTCATGAGTAATTAGACATTGATTAATTAAAATTTGAGATATGAGCATGTGAAGTGTTCTTTAGCATGTGGATTGCTTTTTGGGGTGTGAAGCACTTGGGTGTGAGATGCCTAACTGGGAAGCCTAGTAATTATCTAAATCTCTCCTATTTTGATTATCCTTCTTGATCAACTAAAAACCATGAACCTCGGACTATCGTTCACGGGTAAACAGCATAAGGTGTATTCATGTAAACAGTAACTACTAACTTTATGGATGAACAGTGCTTTATTACTATTCATAACTCTATCAAACTACTTCCTAGCATCAACGAGTCTTCCTCAACCAAGCAGCAGATCTTACATGAGTTCCTACGCTCTGATCGAACTCCGGTCCGCCTTCGATGAAGAACGAGATCACCCGCCAAGCCGTTGTCGATTCATCTCCTCCGATGAAGCTCCGTCAAGGTCTTACAACGGCGTTCAAGGTTCAATTAGCTCCCCACCACATCCGGACACGGCTCTGCCAAGTTATTGAAGACATAAAAATCTACCTACTTCCCCTCTCAGATCCAAATCAGATTCAGATATCTACCAAAGTTCATAATATTGAGAACCTCGTACTTTCCGATCGGATCCAAATTGGCATCGAAAACATCATATCTAAGAGCCCTCTACTTTCGGATCAAAGTCCTCGCCTCCCTGCGAGTCCACATCAATAATGGAGTACATGTCTGCGTAAATGTATGTATATATTCAAGAAGTGTCCGAGGAGTGTCCGACACAGACATGGTCCCATAGATATGGCAAGTGTTGGACATGGATAAGGGAGTAGATGAAGTGTCCAGGTAACCTAGGATATCACAATGTGTATCATCCTTAATGATTATCTTAAGCCCTTCTTTGTCTAAGCAAGGTTGGCTGCGGAGTGCCAGACCATATAGATTAAGAATACAAGAGTTATTCAGATGTGATTGAGGATATTTACAATGGAGTAACTAATATGAGCACAATTAAAGAGACAAGACCATTCCTTTTCACTCACTAACGATTATATTGATCGATGCTTGTTATTTGTGGATGATATCATATTATTTGAAATAACAATCCAGTTTCACACAAGAGAGGACATCCGGACTCACTTTTATAGCTTTTGCAACAATATTTGGGTTTTTCTTTTGCTAAATGAAATGTGGGTATTGATGAGCCGTGCGCTATGGTTAGAATGTTGGAAGATTGAGAAAAAATGTTTCTGAAGAATTAGTTTGTCAGAAATGAATATGTTAGGCTGGATAAGTGTTACTATACTACAGTATAGAACAATGACTCATTTGTAAGATCTAGAAGTTAGAAGTAGAACAAGGATATGATGCTGGAGAATCCATAGGCAGGACTGTTGATTCATAGTTGATGGAGCATCACTTAGTAAGGTAGTGGCTGTTTATCAGAATGTTTATTGTGATGGTACTCCAAATATGTTTTATTGTTTTCTTCGCATCAAGTGCAACCTGGATTTAAAACGTGAATCTCTATTCTCACGTAAACTCTTAAACTTGCAGGCAACTTCAGCTTTGCAGAGAAGCTCTCAGTAAAGTATGCGGGAGCAGCAATTATGTATATGGTATCCAAGAAGCTGAAGAAGAAATATAACATCGCTGATGAACGTGCTGCTTTGTATGAAGCTGCAGTAACATGGACTAAGGCTCTTGACGGCAAAGATTTCTTGGGTATTGTCTAATACTCTTGAGAATTTATATCAGTCCTTGGTTTATAGTAATTTGTACATTTTTTACTTCCTCAGGTGGGTCCAAGCCAAACTTAGCCGATCTTGCAGTCTTTGGTGTTCTTAGACCAATTCGGTACTTGAGGGCTGGCATAGATATGGTGGAAAATACTGGAATTGGTGAATGGTACCATAGGATGGAAAGTGCTGTTGGTGAACCTTCAAGAGTCCTGGCTTAGAATGCGATTTTTGCTACACACCGTGCTTTGTTTCTGTATAGGCGATTAAGATGTGAAAGGTAACACTAATTACGTTTTCTATTTTGGCACTCATGAGTTGCTCAAATTTTGAATAATAACAGTGGTAGAAAACCAGTTAAAGACATCAGCTTATGAAGAAGAGAGAATTGAGGAATGGATATAACCATGAAAAGTGGTTTGTTAACCAAAATACTCTCCAGTGAAAATGTTTTGAGACTGTTATTACTCAATTCCTGTTTTATTTTAGAAACTTATATTCTTTGTGCTACGTAGTAATTTCTTGGGCAATAATATCTAGAGCTTCATTTGAATATTACTTTGTTTTTACTGGCATCAGTCATAACATGATAATCTGTTATTTGCTGGATGCATATCCTTGGTATCGTGGCAGTTATCTTGCATACTCTACTAGGGTTACATTACACCGATAATATTTGATTGAGTATATGCCCTTGGGTGAGGGACATTGGGTGCTGATTAAGAGTTACTCTCCCCCTTAATTCTCAAGGGTTTAGGTCCCGCATCATGCATCGTTTAGTAATTCAGCATGGCTTCTCCACTGTGCACAGAAGTGGGGTATGTTTCATTATATTATGTGACAAAGTAAGTTTGCGAGCTTTCTTATCTGCTATTAGAGTAAGTAAATATAATGATTCATCAATTATCCTTGATTAAAACGGGTATGTTCATATTTCAACGGGTTAGGGGTGGGGGGTGGGGCAGCATCTGAAACAACTTTCTATCTGCTATGTTCATAAAGTAAATATACAAACTCATTAATTTAGTCTTTTATGAAATGGGTGTGTTCATCTTTCACAATTCCTTCAAAAAGAAGAAAGGAAGAAAAATAAAAATAAAGATCGCAAATCGACCATGTTTCGTACGGAAACTTATCTAAAGGGAAAAGGTTAAATAGAGGGGTTTTTAGATGCTAGTGGTATTTGCATATTAGCCCCTCATATCTTTATATTTTGATATTAGTCTTTCAAATACAATTAGTGTGTAGCTGTCTTTCAAATACAATTAGTGTGTAGCTATTAGTCCCTCTGTTAACTTTTCCGTTCAAATCACTTAACCATGATTAGATTATTGGTAACCATGGATGGGAAATTAAAAAGTAACCATAGTTTTAAGGGTTAATACTAGAGAACCTCCCTTAACTTCAGATGAATAACGGAAAACCCCACTTCAACTTCCAAAATATCACAAAATACCCCTTTAAGTATAGGGATTATCACAAAATTCCTTTTAACTTTTAGATTTTATCATAAAACCTTATTTAACTTTCAGATTTTATCAGAAAACACTCCTAATTTAGGGGGTTTATCATAAAACCTTCTTTAACTTTCAGATTTTATCAGAAAACGCCCCTAATTTAGGGGGGTTTTCTGACGAAATTTGAAAGTTAAATGGAATTTTCTGATAACCCCTACACTTAAGGGGTTAGTTTTGATATTTTGAAAGTTAAGAGGGCTTTTCTAGTAATCGTTCGAAGTTAACGGGGTTCTACGATATTTAGGCTGGTTTTAATTACCCCAAATCCAGTCTCTCTCTCTTACCCCATCCACAGCGCCTCTCTCTCGGCCTTCAGCTTTCTCAATCCTCTCAATCCCTCAGATGGCCTCCATGGCCAAAACCTGCTCCATGGCAACAACTTCCCCTCAATCTTCTTTTCAAGCGACTCAAATTCCTTATCCTCGGCCAGCAATTTGGCTAGGCTTATAATATCTTGCGATTAAATCGAAGGAGGAGAATTTGTATTTGGGAATTGGGTATCATTTGAAACACAAGGGGAATAATAAAGGACTCTCTTCCTTAGTTCCTCATTCCCATTCACAGTAATAATCACAATAACGAAAAGACAGAAATAAAGACACTTGCATCTCAAGAAAATCAAATAAGAGAACCCATGATCATCGAAATTTCCTTTCTTGACGCACGAAGAGAGAGGATTGATCAATAAATCCATGTTGCTGCCTCCTTCGCAAGCTATGAAACCACAACAAAATATAAACTATTCCCTCTCAATTTTCATCTAGGCATGATAGAGAAGGTGTAAAAGAGCATGATAATGAAGGAGAAGAGCAAGTAAGAAAATGAGAGGTCGGAATGGGTTTGGGTTTAAACGAGTTTTAAGGTTTCTAAAGGGTTAAATAGATAATGAGTTTGGGTTGTATATGGGTTGTGATTTACAATCAGAGGGGTAAAATGGTCAGTCCACCCAAAAGTTAGAGTTAACAGAGTATTCCTCTAAAGGGCCTGTTTGGATTTATAGGGGGTGAAGGGAAGTTAAGGGAAACTGAGTGAATGGAAGGGAAGGGAAGGGAAGGGAATTCCCTTCCCCTTGGTTACACCCCAATTTGGGGGGTAACAATTTTTATACTATTAGGGGGTGAACCAAGGGGAACTAGGGTGAATTAACTTCACCTCCTAAGTGTTCCCAAACAAGGTGAATGGAGGTGAATAGTTCCCCTAACTTCCCTTCACCCTCATTCCCCTCAATCCAAACAAGAAGTTATACTTCCAACTAAGTACAGGTACTAATATCAACACGCTAATGATATTTAAGGGACTAATATCAAAATAACTATGATTTAAGGGACTAAGATCTAAAAACCCCTTAATTACAAGATGGTGTAGCTCGTTTTATTTTATTAATGGGACAATGAGATCTACATCTATTTATAATTCATTCAACTAAATAACATATGCTATTACGAATAAAGTGTCAGTCGATTGAGTTAACAATAAATCAAAGAGTTATCAATCGCTGATCAATGCGCATATTTCTACGTCGACTAATCAAATAATTGATATAGCGAAACTAGGTCATTGGATACTTTCTCCTTGCTATTATTAGTCAATAAACTCACCAATGTGATTTTATCACATTAAACTGTCTGTTCTTGTAAAAATTAAAGTTGTGATATTTCTCATATCTATTTTGTATCTAGTTGGCTTGAAGCTTCATGGCCCTTTGGGCCAAGTTAGTGCTAAGGTTTAGCAATATATTGGCATCTCTTATATGAGAGAGCTTGAAATGAGATTTGAGAATTTTGGAGAGAATATGACGGCTATTTGTGTATGTGAGATTGAGGGGTATGAGTGATTTCTCCTATAATGTTCTCTGTCATACATATGAACTAGTTTGCGGTCCGTGCAAAGCATGGTTTTTTTTTTTTTTTTTTTTTTTTTTTTTTTTTTTTTTTTTTCCTACAGTAATCCCGCTTTTTTAAATACGGCATGATTTGACTTTTTGGAAGTGCTACAGTATCCCGCTCTGCTACAGTACCTTTTAAATGTTACAGTATACCCGTGTGCTACAGCAATATTTTAAATTAAGTATTAGCTACAGTAAATGCTACTGTAGCATTTACTGTAGCATGAACAGTGAATCTCTGATCCTACTATTTGTATAAAGGAATAGATTTCTCGTGTTGTTGCCCTACGGATGTAGCTTGAACTTGATCAACCGGTTAAGATAAATCTCGATGTTTTTATTTCTTGTTATTGTTCTATATTGTGAGCTTGTGGTTTAGTCTCTAGATTGTGGAAGTTGTAACCAGGGATCATCAATCCCAACAAAAATAATTCCCACCTTCTTACGTATGAAATATCACCAAAGTTCGATAATGTGCTAGCGCTCATTGAAGTTGAAGAGCCAATTGGAGAGTGGGAGTTATTGTGAGTGGTGTTAGAATTCATGAATGTATTTCTAGAAAAATTACTAGGTTTGTCCCCTAATTGAGACATGAAGTTTACTATATATCTCTTATCAGATACAACACTAATATCTAAAGCACCATATAGGATGGTACTAAAAGGGTTAGAAGAGTTGAAAGCTCAGACTGAAGACTTCAAGCAAAAAGGTTTCATTAGAGTTAGTGCGTCATCATGGCGAAAAATATTGTTGCTAGTAAAAAAAGATGGCATCGGGAGAATGTGCATCAACTACAGGGAGTTAAACAAGGTGACGATAAAACACATGTATCCTTTGCCCAGTATAGACGACCTATTTGATCAGCTTGGAGGATTAGTAATGTCACTAGTACAAAACAGGGCAGTCCAAACGGTTGGAACCGTTTGGGAAAACCCAGTCCCAAACGGTTACAACCGTTTGGGCTAAAAAAATAACCGTTTGGGCTAAAGCCGTTGGGAAAAAGTCTACCCAACAGTCGCCCCAACGGTTACAACCGTTTGGGAAAAATCCTAAACGGTTGTAACCGTTTGGGATTTTGCCCAAACGGTTACAACCGTTTGGGATTTAATAAATTGCCAAACGGATTTAACCGTTTGGCCAAATTATTTCCCAAACGGTTTCAACCGTTTGGCCAAATTTTGGCCCAAACGGTTTTAACCGTTTGGCCATTTATCTGTCCAAACGGTTTCAACCGTTTGGGTTGTTTATTTTAATATTTTTTAAAATTTTAACTACTTTATTTATCTACTTGTTTATATACACATCTCACACAATAATTATTCAATATCTCACAATGAAATCAAAAACATATACATACACAAAAATGTCTCAAACAGTGATGAATATCCAATATTATATATACATACACAATAATTACTCAATATACAATATTAGAGACAAAATGTATACATACACAATGATTACTTAATATCTCACAATAAAAAGTATCCGATATTGTATATTTGTTTCTCACAAATCTACATATTTCTCAGCAATTCAACTTCCCCATCTGATATTCGACAAATGGCCAGTCGCATAAGCTCTCCAGTCACATCTGCAAGCTAAACCAAAAGAGAAGAGAAAAAGAAAACAATTACCCCCAAAAGAGAAAAGTGAATTCAACAGAAAAAGAAATTTTAAACTATTATCCTCAAAAGGTTGTCAAGAACATTAATATGTAGGGGCTCGGGATATTTATCACTTAGCGGTCGCAGAGTAGCATTAATCTCAGCGAGGTTCAGGAGGCTTCCAGTTTTGCAGAACTTACAGAGGGCTGCAGCTTCAACATACTCTTGAATCTGCAGCAGTTGTTTAACAGTTAGAAACCACTATTTTATATTCCAAAAAGAAACAAGGGAAATGTGCTAACATCGAAAGTATAAGCTCGTCTGAGTTTCCAAAAATCGGCACCTTTTAGTTCATTTACTAGTCTCGACATAAATTGATCAGTCACTGCAGCAAGATCTTTTTCCGTCTTTGTTAAAACTACATCTTTGTTATCCTTAGAGCAAGTGCAGCAAGCTCCCAGTTGGGAGTCCTAGTCAGCATGCTCTCAAGAGCTCTCAACCTTTTCAAAATAAAAAATTAACAAATTATACATTGGGAGGCATTCCTTATTTTATGGAGCTCCAACAAGCTCCTAGTTAGGAGCTCCAACAATATCAAAAAAACCCCTCTTCTATTTTAATATTTCACCCATTACTTTTAATTATATTTAAACCTATTGTATTTTATTTCTAACAGTTGCACACGGTCTTCGAGGCAACCCACGGTCTTCGAGGGAGCGCACACGGTCTTCGAGGTAACCCGCGGCTTTTGAGGGAACCCACACGGTCTTCGAGGTAACCCACGGTCTTCGAGGGAGCGCACACGGTCTTCGAGGTAACCCGCGGCTTTTGAGGGAACGCACACGGTCTTCGATGTAACCCGCGGTTTTCGATGTTGGGCACGAAGTTCGAGGTATCGCAAACTTTGACCGTCATCCGACTGATGCCTATAAAATTCGACGGCTTCTCTCCTCAACCCATCATCTCCCAGAATAAAATGTCTAGCTCATCTAGCTCTAGCGATGATGAAATGATGAAGAAGTTCTTTCTTATGGGAGCTGTTGTCGTTGAGGAAGAAGAACAAGAGAAATGTTCAACTTCAGTTCAACACAAACGACGTATTGTGCTCCATCGAAACCGACTGAAAGGCCACAATCGGTTATTCCAAGATTATTTTGCTGACGCACCAACCTATCCTCTTTATTATTTTCGTCAAAGGTTCAGAATGAGGCGTTCGTTATTCCTTCGAATCCACGACGCAGTCGTCGAACATGACAAGTACTTCGTCCAAAAGAGGAATGGTGCTGGACAGTTAGGACTATCTAGTCTTCAAAAGATTACTGCAGCTATGCGGATGCTCGCATATGGAGCATCCGCTGACTCCGTTGACGACTACGTTCGGATCGGTAAAAGTACGTCGCTTGAGAGCGTGAAGAGGTTCGTTCGATCGATTATCAACATCTTTGGAGAGGAATACCTTCGTGCACCGACTAATGAAGACGTTGCACGCCTGCTCGAGGAAGGCTCACAACGAGGTTTTCCTGGTATGCTTGGGAGCATCGACTGCATGCACTGGACATGGAAGAACTGTCCAACTGCCTGGCAAGGTATGTATACTGGACATTTTCATGAACCCACAATTATTTTGGAGGCCGTAGCTAGCAAAGATCTTTGGATATGGCATGCCTTCTTTGGACTGCCGGGGTCTCACAATGACCTTAATGTTCTACATCGTTCACCGGTTTTCGCACAACTTGCGGAGGGAAGAGCTTCGCCGTGCAACTATACTGTCAATGGCCACGAGTATAATATGGGATACTATCTCGCCGACGGGATTTACCCAGAGTGGTCCACATTAGTGAAGACTATTCCAGCACCTCGAGGAAACAAGCATAAGTACTTTGCTCAACAACAAGAAAGCGCAAGAAAAGATGTTGAGCGAGCTTTTGGCGTGTTGCAAGCTCGATTTGCGATTGTTCGTGGACCAGGACGTTTCTGGCAACCTTGTGTGCTGAAAGATATCATGACAGCTTGTATCATAATGCATAACATGATCGTTGAAGATGAACGTGATTGTCAATTGGATAACAACTTTGACTTTACTGATTCGGTACCAGTCGTTGAACCTTCTCATGTGCAGACGGTACCTCTAACTGAGTTCATCCAAAATCATCATCGGATCAGGAACACGCAAACACACAAATCACTAAAAAATGATTTGATCGAGCATCTGTGGCAGCTTAAGGGATCCATCGCCGAGGATTAAGTTTCTTTATGTCTAATGTAATTTCAGAAAAGGAGTTCAAGTTGTTGTACTACGCCAATTTCATTTTCAATAAAGTAGTTGTTTTCATTCAATGCCAAAATTTTCAACTTCAAGTACAATCATAAATCTAATACAAGATAATATTTGATAATTAGGAAGAACTAATGAGGATGCGATGCGAGTACAATATATGATAATTAGGAAGAACCCTTGGACATCCACCTCTCCAAAATCTCTGCCTGACGCATTTCAAAGTATTGACGTTGAACTGAATTGAGTGTTGAGAGATCGATCTTCATGATATCGTCATCTTGTTTCTTCTGTTTTAGCTCCATTTTTTCTTTGTTGGTTTGCTTCATCCACGCGAAAGCCTCTCCCATAATGGACTTAGCGGACTCAGATTTGTCCACATTTTGTTTCCTCTTGAGTTTTGCCGCTTTCCTCCCTTCAGGCCTTGCTATAACATCATCCGAGTCAATGTTCAACTCGATGGGGGTCGCTGGCATGGAATTGTTTGGTGAGGAATCAGAGTTCGTGGTTCTTCTCGGCTGTGATCGAATCTTATTGTAAGTTTCCATTTGTTGGTTCCATTTTTGGTGATGACGCAACTCAACCCAGCAATGGTCCAACACGAATGGCTTACCATAAAGGGATTGGTATAATTCTTTTACTTCTGCAGTCTACACAAGAGTTAAATTTAGAATAATCAAACATATAAGTTAAATATTTACATAAAAACATATAAGTTAAATATTTACCTGGTCAATAATTCCCGTACCAGATCTTTGTCTTCCTTCAATCTGAGCAACGCACCCGCAGAACTTGTTGACAGATAGTTGAATCGTTGACCAACGGTGCATCATTTGGTTTGGTGTGCGACTCGTTGGATCGGTGGAGTATTGGATAAAGTAGTCGTTAGCTCTGTGCCAGAACTTATCTTTGTGTTGCCCTGTGCCTTGGATGGAGTCTTGGCTCGTGTTCAGCCAAGCAGACACAAGAAGCTTATCCTCGTGGACAGTCCAATTTTCGGACCGCGTGTAAGCCTTCTTCTTCTTTGTGGTCGGTGTTTCTTGGGATGACACTTGTTGTGTTGCGGATTGCGATAACTCGATGGGATGACCTTCTTCTACGACTTCTGTATAGAACGGCGAGTATAAGGTCGATCCTTCACCGGTAAGGAGATGCGAATAGTAGTTGTTTTGGGAGGGATCCATGAGATTTGTAATTTGATAGGAAAATATAGAATTTTTTTTATGAGAGAGTTGTGTGGATTGTGAATTGTGGATTGTGAATTGTGAATTGTGAATTTATAGAGGTTTTTTTTACTGTTCAACAGTAAGAAAATGGAGCTCATAGCTCAACGGTAATAATTTTTCATCTCAACGTTTCATTTTTTACACAACGGTACATTTTTCCACTCAAAACGGCCAAATTTTTCTTACCAACGTTCATTTTTTCACTCAGTCCAACGAATGAAACACAATAAAAAAAAATTTCTTCGTCAAAACCTCGTCTTCTCCCCAACCAAAACCTCTTCATTTTCCCCCAAATCCCAACCCCAAAATGGATTTTAGTTTGAAGTATTTTATCTTGTGCAAATAAGTTTGGTCCATTTGTTTATTCAGTTTAAGCCAAACTTTGCTCACCCTTAGTCTTGGCCGTAACCTCATAAGACCCTAAGAGCATGGGCAGCAAGCTCCGAAGCCTGCTCTCAGCTCCGACGTGGACACCTCCTCCGGGTTAGCCCCCTCCAACGGCCTCCGAAGCTCTCCCAACCTGCTCTCAATCGATGACGTGGAGGTGGACGTGTTCCGAGCTCCCAAGCGCTCCACAAATTTGTGGAGCGCTTGGGAGCTCGGAACACGTCCACCTCCACGTCATCGATTGAGAGCAGGTTGGGAGAGCTTCGGAGGCCGTTGGAGGGGGCTAACCCGGAGGAGGTGTCCACGTTGGAGCTGAGAGCAGGCTTCGGAGCTTGCTGCCCATGCTCTTATTGAGCCTGGAGTACAAGAAAGCTGGAGTCTTGGCATCAAAAAAGCAGTAAGACTGCTAGTGAAGGGTCATTATAATAAGTGCATGAAATATTACTATGACATTGGCATTCTTTTCTCAGAAAATATTATTTTTAAATTTAGTTACAAAAATTATCTGAACTTTTTTATTTATAAAGATCAAGAAATTTCAGTCCACATCAGAAACGATAGGAGTTGGTCAAGTTTCAATCAGCTTCCATCTCTGGGTTTTCTGGGAGCTAATTAAGCTCCTTCATAAATACCTATACCTTCTTTAAGGACAAAGCTAAACTAAGGTTAAGAGCTTCATACCTTGGCCGTGAAAGCTTTACACCCTGTTTTTTGCTGTAAAAGAGAAGGAAACAATTGAACCTTATTATGCTAGACATAAGAGTTATTGTTTAGCTGATTGCGGTTATTAGGCTGCCAACATCTTAACTTTTGTAACATAAGGTGCATGTGCAAAAAGGAGTGAAACTGAGAAGTGACTGTAAAACAGTCTTTTTATATGGAAGGTGTCATGCCCCGGATCCGTGAACCCATTGGCCTGATGGAAGCCTTGGACCTGTAGGTGCAATCCATGGGCACATCGTAAGTCTTGGGACCCACTAAGTGCAATATGCAGTTTGTTTCAATCCACTACCATAAATTGTAGCAATTGTTGCACTTGAATCCTTAGGACTTACATTATAAACCCACTGAAACCTCTTTGAGTACCCGACGTGGGCCTAAAAGTTGGGGTATCACAATAGGTATCGAGCAAGTTGGCCTGAAAGACAATTTTGTTGTTTGAACCAAACACAACAAATCACAGTGGGCCAAGAAACTTACAGTGGTTTTGAACTGTCAAGTGGCTGGTTAACCCGATGGCCCTGACAGCTGCTGGTTTCAATATGCGCTTTTCTTCTCTTGCCACACTCAATTTCACCAACATGAACAATATTTAGTGCATGAATATTAAGGGAAAATTAGGTTTAGGCTTTCAAAAATTATAAATTTATCAGATGTTCAAGGCATTGGGTGGTTAAGATAGATACCATGTGTATTTTTGCCAGTAGCTCTTACTGAACTTTTTGTATTTTCCTTGATAAGAGAAACAACCATAGAATAAAACATAAATACATTGCTCATAAATGAAATATAACCACTATAGATTCTACATCATAGAGTTAAAAAATAGAAATTCTATTCTAAAGATTTAGTAATTCAAAAAGGAAGAAAGGGATATGGTTTAACGCATGATGCAAGCATAAACTTGGTAGGCTAAGTACCATGAACTTCAATAAACATACCAACATGGGTAACAATTGGCCAAGTACCATGTTTATGAACTTAAAATAAACAAATCATACCAACATGGGTAACACAAAAAGAAATGCATTGTCTTGCTGCATGGCCATTTCAAATATAAAATGAAATTAACAAAAATAATCATGCATGATGAGTCCAAAGATAGCAATCAAGCAATAAACACGACCAGCATTGCATACACTTGAGATAAATTACTTCCCACTAACTTTTCTTTCCTGGATCAATAAAAAATAATAATAAAACAAATGGGTAACTCATTTGCAGTGTATGAATATTTTAAAATATAAACATCCATGTAAGTAGGATGCTCACTCACGCTATTTTGGGTTTATTACTCAGCTCATGTCCACATTGGTTGCTTCTACTTTCCTTCAAATTGCCGATGTCAACCAATGCTTTTCTTCCAGCCCTAGATTTGATTATCCAATAACCGCATACAAAAAAAATGATGAAAACATCTATCAATCAGCAAAATCGGAGACTAAGAGCCCTAAATCTCACCGGAAATTTCACATTTTGCCATAGAATTCTCCAAACCCTGCACCTTTCCCTGAGAAAGAAACGGAAGTTATCCATATTTGGTGGCGCATTTCTCAAATTTAGATAGTTAAATTTGGAAAGTCTTCAAATGCTAAGAATAAGACAAGGTCATGTCCAAAACCATGCCACGATTCAAATCAATCTTAGTTGTCCCCGCTGCTGATGAACTAAGAAACCCAAATTTCCTTCAATTTCAACAGGAAAAGAACAAAATCAGCAATTTTTTAACAACAGATCATGCTTACACAAATTTGTCAGCAAAATAGGATCCCCATTACCGCAAACTCGACATTAGAACCTTCCCTGTAGCTCTTCTGTCAAAATAAAGGAAAGAAATCGCACTAAATTTCGTCAAAGCTAGGGCTTTTAAATTTGAAAGAGAGAGGGAGCCAAGTGAACTATGAGATTCCCATACTGATCATCAGCCCTCTTCAAACCTTAAAGAAATAAATAAGATTATGAAAGAATAGTTAAAAAAAGAGAAAAGTGGGGGGAGTTTTAGGATTTGATTACTGTTCTTGGGAGGTCGATTCTCGTCGAGGATTCCAGTGGAAATGGCGGTGATTTTTGTTTCTTTACCCTAATTAAAAAGAAAGAAAAAGAACCTGATGAAGACGAGGAGAACGGTGGAGATGCAGATGAAGACGACGTGGAGGCGGCGGTGGGAGCGTAGGAGGAGGAAGAAGATGGCCGAGGGATTTGAGAGATTTGGGTTTGAGATGAGGGATTTGAGAGATTTGGGTTTGAGATGAGGGATTTGAGGGGATCGGGTTATGGGGCGCGGGGATTTTAGATTTTGGGGGAAATTTTTGGGGGGAAGCGGAAGAGAACGGAGAAAGAGATTTTTATTTAAAAAAAATAACTAAAACACCCAAACTGTTGAAACCGTTTGGGCTAAACTTTTCAAACGGTTAAAACTGTTTGGGGTTGCGTTTGGGATTTCTTAACAGCCCAAACAGTTTTAACCGTTTGGGTTTTGTTATCCCAAACGGTTAAAACCGTTTGGGCTATTTTTACTTGTCCAAACAGTTCTAATAACCGTTTGGGCTGTCCTGTTTTGTACTAGTGTGTACTTGAAGTTGGAATTGAGATCAATCTATGACCAAATGAGGGTGAAGGAGGCAGGAGGCAGATATTCTTAAGATAGTATTTCGAACAAGATATGAGAGTTATGAATTTTGAGTGATGCCGTTTGGAGTTACAAATGCACCATCAATATTTATGGATTTATGAATAGAGTTTTCTCAGAGTACTTAGATGAATTCATTGTGTTGTTTATTGATGACATACTAGTTTACTCGAAGACGGAAGAAGAGCACGAAGAGCATCTGTAGTTAGTGTTGGAGTTGTTGTTTTGAGAGAAGTCATAAAGAAAGTTAGACAAATGTGAATGAAAAACAGAGAAGAAGAAAGAGGATTTCTGAGGGGCTCCGGTAATGGGTAAGTGGGTTTTCTTTTTTATTTTCGTTGTGCTTTCTCAAGGAGAATGATCCTCCTTATATAGGGGCTAAACCCATCATCTCTACCCCTCAGATCCGCCCTCATGAGAGATTTTCTCTCAACCACCCATGATTCACGTTCTCCACCATTATCTCAACAGAGAAACAGTGGTTGATTTGGTCATCAATGACCAAGTCAAGCTAACATCTTCCACTTGACCAAATTAACCAAGTGACATGCCTCCCACTATCCGTGAGATCGGATGTTTCTGCTTACCATTCCTCCCACTATCCGTAGAGAGTAACTCTTATTTCATTATTCATGAAATTTTACTTGGACTTATTTATTCCTAAGTCCCATCAAACTTACATGTTTGATAAAAGATTCCGCTGGTATTCCTTTTGTCAAAGGATCAGCAATCATATCTGTAGTAGGGATATAAGTCACTTTGACTTCTCCCTTTTCTACAATATCTCGAATATAGTGATACTGGATCTCAATATGTTTTCCTTTGGAGCTATTCGCGCCACTATTGATTAAGCTAATTGCTGCTTGATTATCACAATAAATATCAATAGGTCCTTCTAACAAATTGAGATCAAGATCAATCAAAAACCGTCTTATCCAGACAGCATGTGTAGTTGCCATACTGCAAGCTATATATTCAGCTTCTTGCGTATATCTAGCAACACACCCTTGTTTCTTGCTACTCCAAGAAACAGCTCCTCCTCCAAAGATAAATAAGTGTCCCGAAGTGGACTTTCCATCATCTTTATCACCTCCGAAATCAGCATCGGAATAACCGAGGAGTTCAAGCGAATCAGCTTGATAAACTAATCTATGAGTCAATGTACCTCTGATATACTTCATAACCCTTTTAACAGTTTTTCAATGTGCTGGTCCTGGATTACTTTGATATCTACTGACTAGACTCACAGCATAAGCTATATCAGGTCTGGTGCACAACATTGTATATATCAAGCTTCCAATTGCTTGAGCATAAGGAACATCTAATGGCTTCTACCCCTCTCCAGGGCTTTGCTCTTTACATAATCTCTTTCCCATAACCAACGGAGTTGGTGCCGGATTGGAATTCTCCATTCCAAACCTTTTAGGAACTGATCTTAAATATTTTTCTTGATTTAAACTTAGCATTCTAGACTTTCTATCTCGAATTATTTGAATTCCAAGAATATATGATGCATCTCC